TTYYYMAARGGKTKKYSGGGAGAACAGCGAATGAACGACCGAAAGGCACTGTGGGTATTTATTATTGAGAAGTTTTAACTTAATATTAAAATATTCACTCATCAAAGACCTCAAATATTGTCGTTTACGTCATTTTCTATTATGTAACTGTGTCTTCCATTGAATGAAGATCTGAATGTTAATACATGTGAATATATCAAAGGAATTCCAGTACCCACAGTGCCTTACGGTCGTGCAAAAACTGACAAAAMTGAAAAGGAAATTGGATTTTCACTGACTTGTCAAGTCATTTTCAAACATCACTAGTATAAAGATGTACTTACTGATAGTTTCATTCAAAGCCATTGCTTGCCTAACAGATTTTTGAATGTCCGTTTYCAAGTTACTTCTTACCAAATTGAGCTGGAAAAAATTACCTTATTTTCAAATCTRTCAATGTGTAAGTTGAAAATTGCGGCAAACTTTACAATACCTTGTCACTAAAGTCTTTCTGTAACGATGTTATGTTCACTTTTTCTTGTGCTTTCTATATCAACCAGAATGATGCAGTTTTAAYAAAGATGCCAGTATAAATCATGAATATYATGATGATGATGACAGTKATGATCATAGCTCACCAATAATTTCTGCAGCTCTGTTACGTTTTYTTGTAAGCTTGCAATGCTTGCTTGCATTGGTTGAACTGAGGMGGATTTCTGTTGCGAACTGGATTTATCTGTAAAATGAGATAAACTACTATGAATATACTCAAATATCTTATAATGTAACAAAYATATGCGACGCGAAATTCATTGGGRTGAGTAGATTTTAAAGGTACCAGGCGTAGATGGTAAAATACCTTGTTCAGTGCCGTCTGATGCTTGGACACGTAGAGTTCCAGTGATAAGCAAGATGACAAGAAACAAACACAACAAGAAAAGAAATATTATTACAAATAATAGCAATTTAATCAGCTGACTTTCACGAAGACAACAGCATCTTTTCTCTGTAGCACTTTCTTCACTGTTTTTGCGTTTCTTCTCTTTGTCATCGTATGGTTCGTAGAGTTTRTTCACTGTTTGTCGTGGATAGATTGGTAATTCGGGTTTTTTCGGAATGGTATCGCCTAGATCAGCGTATTGATGACTATGATCATCGTTGACGTCTTCATAAACGAAGTTGCTTCTCCCTTTATTCTTCGCATTACTATCATCTTCTACTAAATCAACTGCGTAAGGATCCAACTCTCGATTACTGTGCCGTCTTTTTCTCCCTTTAAATGACTGTTTTAATTTACGGCTTAGTTTACGAACTGGRTTTCCTTTGGCCTCAGRTATAGTTTGATAAAGTTCTCCWGGAATGAATGAACCATTTAGAGTATTGTGAGCTTGTACAGGGTCAAAGTCCCTGCTTTCTTCATAACCATCGTTAATAATTCCTTTCGAAATTACAACTGAAGGATCGTCGACTGCATAGGGATTGGCTACTCGGTCGCTACCTCGACGTGTCGAATCAACCAATGCTAATGGACGAGGTAAACTCACAAGCTTGCTGTAATTATCTGCTAAGTCGGTATGTTGGCTCGGCTCTTTATTGTTATCAATTGCTTCTTCATACCCAGAATTGTTGTCAGAAGTAGTTTTATTGCGTCTAGCGRCATCCAAARCYGAGTTCGTGTAGACATGAGATGGKTYTTCACCTTTCTTCCCTATTAGCGAAGTCATTGCAAATAGTTGTTGATCAATAATCGAATGTTCTYAATCACGAGATGTAGTTATGCAGATCTATATGAGGTATACCACGTTTGACTAGCCATGCAAAACCCGGCATAAAACCATTAGTAAATACATTAACGTCAACAAGGGATTTGTGATGATAAAAAGTTACTCATTTTCTTTATAGATCTGCATAATTTTCTTTTTTATTAAATTTACGAAACTGTATAATTTTTCATGGTCATTTATCTCGCAAGAATTCTCAGATATTGCGCGGGCAGTGGGGTGAGGCAGGTGACGTTATACAGCAAAATTCCATTGGATTGAATGTGAAAGCAAAAGGTCTTTAATTAGATTGATTGACATTTGTTCACATTAAAAATAGATGTAATCGGAAGGAAGAACGTTAGAATAAAACTATGTGGTCCCTGACCGTTCAATTCACAGTGGGCCGAAATAGAATTAAAAAAAACTGATGACTTCATCGCATTTTACCTAAATTCACCGCACCTCTTTCTCTCATGGAAAAACTGGAATTTGCTGCATTAATACTCGAGTTTTTCTTCTTTCATAGTTTTTTCATTTAACAAGGCTTTTTTCTCATTGTAGATCGAAGTAATATATTTATCAAGTGTCATTTTTCTTGCCGTAGCATCTTTCCATAAGTTTTCCAAGTCTTCGATGTTACTACAGTTYCGCAGTTTACGTGCAAACGCAATGTTCTCCATGAATTCTTTGGAAAGCAGCYTACAACCATCAACTTTACAAAGATTTCCAGCATTTGACCTCAATGTTTCTGAGAAAAATGAAATTCCAGTGTTTTTGGACAGTGTTTCCATGGTAACTTCAAATTCTTGAAGTTGGTGGTCATTGCTAATTGGTTGGTTTGGAACAATAAAGGCACCCAATAGTGGCTGTTGGTTTTTGGTTTCAGCTAAAATGACTTTGAAGAGATGTGTTGGAACTGCAACCTGGCTGTCTCCTATCACCTGGATTTGATAATAGTAAAAATTATACCTTGATTATCATCATCATCAATCATCATTTATTACAATCACTTCCAAGTACCAGTCATTGTTGTCACCACATGTAAGGACAATTGGGTACCCTATGTGTGCATGTGCTGGTGGGTGCTAGTTGGCTTGTTTTTTTTTATTTGCAAGGGGCTATTTGGAAAAGTTGAATGGCTAAATTGGAAAAACAGAAAAGGGAAAAGAAAAGGGAAAAACAGAAAAGGGAAAAACAGAGAGGGAGAAGTATAGAGGTGACATCCCCATTGTACCTCTGTAGTTCCTGTTCCAACATTTCCTCACCTCATATTGGACTAGTTTATTCCCATCTTTAGCATCAGACGGAAGAAACAATGGTCCAGACACAACATACACATCTGAGTAGCGTTTTGTCAGGGTTCTACAATACGATTCCAATCGATACCAAAAATTGGCATTATTATCAAGGTTTTGTGGAACAATATTAGACAAGAAGAAAGTTTCATTCATGGCGTCTTGATTATACTTGTTGTCACCTGAAACAGAWGAAAATAATTTAATRACAAGGATTTTTTTGTGAAAAATACTTATTATTGATCATATTCAGTCCCAAACATGAGTTTKGAGGAAAATGAGTCTTTGATTTGATTGRTTCAAGAGATTTCCCTGTTAAGGCATGAATGACAGGTGTCCATCATTCACAAGACCCACCAGCAGGTGCTAGATGTCCTCTTGACCATCCCGTTCCAAGGAAATCTTCATTGTGAGCCTGAAATGCTGCTGGGATATTTTTGTCTGAACTAAACTCTGAAAATTCTCTTTGGGCTTCTCCTTGCACTTTATTTCTTGTCAAACGCTCAGCAACCCAGATGGGGATTTTCCTGGCTTGATCATAACAAACCCAATGATTTGTGTATCGTAAATGTCGTAATGGACTCTGTGGTAAACCGTATTTACAAAAACCTCTTCTCCCATCGACCTCATCTTCRCTCTCGTCTTGACTGACATCGATAGTGCGAAGATGTCGACCATATTTCAAGTTTTTGTTCTTTTCAACAATTTTCTGTATTTCTTTCTGCTTGCTTGAGCTCTGATCTTCTCCATGTGTTCCTGTGGTTTCATAGTAAACCTTAGTTACACCAGTACCAACAAGAATCCCTAACAGAATGTCAGTAAAGCCAGGAAACTTTTGACGAAATGATTTCAGGTACGCCGCCATCTTTTAAAAACATGGAGACTGGGGCGAGATAACCGCTGGTCATGAATAAGAATTTGCGCGCCAGTTTTTCAATGGCGGACTCGGTGTGTTAGTTTTGTTCTTTAGTTTTATGTCAAATTTATTTATTTTTAAGGGCTTAGYATAMGYTGAAGCCGTAAAATTCGTGCGCTGCAATGGTTGATATAGATGATTCTTACTTCAAAAGTAATAAGCGGACTGTTCGAGGTGGGTTTTTACAAGTATTTTTATGYCAGTTATACACTCAGCTGATTCTTTGRAGTTTGTTTATGTCTTCAGCTAGAGCATCTGAAAGCCTTGATTCTSTCCGTACAGCTTTAGATTCACCTGTAAGGTCGCCTCCAACAGTAGCAGATAGCTACCCTGCAGCGGGTAAGATTAAAAATGCTTTRATATGAAGCATTTGTACGTTAAATTTTGTAAAGTTAGCTATTAAGTGAATTTTTGGCTAATACGAGTTTATAACTTTCTTATTAGTTTCTCGCTTAAAGGTTCTTCTTCAGCAATACAATGAACATCAGGTATTCTTGTTTTTTGATGATTTAGTTTGATATTGTTTGATATTGTTGATTATTATCATCATTGTATATTTGAGTATTTTGTCTGTGTAATTATTTGCTTATTTTGATAGCCTTCTGGAAATTCACCACCAGTCCATCACATAACAGGCCAACTCCCYGATGCTGATGAACTAAAGGAGCTCATTAACCATTATTATTCTGTAGTACAACACCTTCAGGCCCAGGTGGAATTACTCAAGGTAAACTCATTATAAAAAAAGATAGAAAAATGTGAGAAATTTTTACAATATTTATTGACTGTCCATGAAATTGATAATGATTACTGCAGTCATCATTGTTATAACCATTGTCATCAATGTTATAATTTTTAATTAATTACTGATACTATTACTGGTTATCTTTATCACATTGTTATTATTACTATTTTGACTTGAATTCACAGGATGCTTTGAAGTCATTAAAAAAGAAAACAAAAGCTTTGTGTGAAGAGAATCAATCTCTCCTGGCACAGCTCAAAGACAGCACTGTCAACCAGCTTCTAAACCAACATGAGGTACTTCAKCATAAAGACAGTTAAATAAATAATTCAACATACAACTGTAGTCTCATTTACCATAGATAGTTAGACTAGACACTGGTAATTTAAGGCATTTTGAAAATGATTTATGTAGTTTCAATGGATCTAATTAATGATTTAATGTATTAGGAAAGTAAAGATGAAAGATTACATCATGACAGAAAAAGAAATCAAGACAAAGCTGGTCCATCCAGATATTTTCCTTCAAAGAGAGGAGAWGATCAAGAATGGTATGAAGTCATGGATGATTCAACAAGAACAAAAGCAAGTACAAGGAGTGTTGATGATCAGGTATCCTTGATTATTGTTTTGGCAGTAATTATTGATAAATATACAGCTTACTGAAAAAAAACATAATCATTCTTGGTTTCTCTGAAAGTTGAAACAAATTTCCCAATACAAATCTTTATTGATATTATACTTATTATTGGTCTACYGATCCTACATTTTGGTTTTAGCTTCAATGAAATAACCTTTTTTTTAAAAAAGTTAAAACATGTTAAAACATGTCCATATGGTACATGTATGTGAAAAAGAAACTCAACCTTTTTTTCTCACTTTGATAGCTTTTCCTGTCTCCAAAAGAAAGAAAGTTTATGATGAAGATGGAAGATGAAGTTGTAAGTCATCCTAAAAGATATAGCTGTCTCAGTTAACTTCTCGTAGCTTTCATAGAGTGTTGTAAATGTTTTCCAGGGTGAACTTGTAAATCATAGGATATTTTGTGCTATGTCTTGCTATGCTAGTTCTGGTTGTAACACTAACATGAAAAGTTTTTCTTTCAAGGATCAAATACGACATCTTCATGAAGCTAAAGCCAAACACCTTGAAATGCTTCTGTTTTCAGCCAGGTAAGAAAGTCAATATCAAAATATAGAATTTTCAGTAGTATATATTGAAAAGTGTTGATTATTACTAGCATTCTAACCATATACTGTAACTGMATTTGTTCTTCTTMAGAGATGARATTGAAGAACATCAAAGCCACATTGCAAAACTAGAAGATAAATTAAGGTACAGTGTTTATTTTAATGTTGTGGTGTTTATTTTAATGTTGTGGTGAAGATGTTTACGATCTTGGTAATGATGATACTGATTATAGCAAATTAATTTCTGGTTTATTTTCAGAGATAAAGAAGTTGTTCACATTGCTGAGCATGTAAGCACTTAGTGTTTTACTTTTAAAGAGGATTTGGACTTGGGTTTCCTGTCTTCACACAGGGAGACCAACTGTACAAACAGTTAGAGAAAGTTCACCCGCCCCATATAAAACTTTCTTCTTGTTTTAAACAGCCAGGCCAAGCTGTGTTATGTGTCAAATGTGGACAACAAGAAGCTGTCTTGGCATCAACCCATGGAGATGCTCTTAGACGAGCTATGGAACAACTTAAAAGGTGCGGTATTATTATTTGTCTGTAACTCATTTAACTGTTCAGTGTCTTTGTGCACATTTTCTGACAGCAGTTATTGACACTCTTCAATTATTTATTTGTTTTGGATTTTCTTATTTAGTTATTTGTGTTTATGTTGTTTCCCTGTTCTTGTTCTTTCTTCCATTGTTTTCTTCAATCATCCACTTATTTTTTCGTTTATTTGTACATTGGTCTGATTATTATTATTTTCTCTGCTAAAAAGGGAAAGAGATGATCTTGTTGAAACTCTTACAACCCAGAACTCATCCATTTCAAAGATTAGACAAAGAGAGATTGATGCTTACAACCAAGTGAAGAAAAGCTGTGAGTTGGCTGAACARGCACAGCTTGAAAAAGCYGAGGTATAKTATAATGTTCTCTTGGTTTTCAATGATAAGTTTCTGCTTAAAATTTAGTATATAAAGCAAAGTAGTGCCTACTGTCTGTAATTTTGAATAAAACGGTGTGATGATTGACAGGCAATCATTCAAGTGCAACAGCTTAAACAAGAAGTACACCAACAAAAAGAAAGGTACGACAAATTTGTATCAAATGAAAAGGAACGCACRGCAAAGGAGAGTGAAAAGTTGATTGTGGAGTATCAAAAGCAGCTGGAAGCCCTGAACAACAAGGTAAACAAAACTATATTGTTGCTGCTTTCCTTGTATGTCAGTCTTTGTAAATTTAGTGAGGRTTTAATTTGTGTTTGTTGAAGATCCAGGAAGTCAACAATGAACATGCAGSGACTGCCAATCAAGTTGAACGCTTAACCAGAGAAAAGGTAAACTCTCACTTCTTCTCTTGTACCTCTCTTCCTTCCTCCTTATACTTTCTCCCACTTTTCTCTTCACTTCCATATGGCAATGAATTGGTCAGAACAGCACTACAAAACAATCTCTCTACTTGTTTTCAGGTTGGACTATTGTCTGAGCTRGAACAGGCTAAAGGTCAAATACTAGCCAGTAATACCGATGTCACAAAGGTAAACGTGCAACTTTCCAATTGCTTTCACCTGCAGAGGTACTTTTGTTTAACCTTGTGATCATGTTTTGCCAGGAAAGCCAGGAAGCACTACGAGAACTTACAGAAACAAAAGTAAAGCATTCTCTTGCCTTACAAGAAATCTCGACTCTGAAAAACAACTTGCAAACAACAAACAGACAACGGGAACAGGTGAGTGATCTAACGTGACGTTAAGACGTGCGCAATGACGTTAGATATACGTGGACATAACTAACGTTTGAGCGACGCGGTAGTAAGTTGCGCGGCGTAATTTCACAGGAGACGTGAAGTAATTAACGTAACGTAAAGTAGTGTACAATGACGTTAGATAGACGTGGACATAAAGAACGTTTGAGCGACGCGATAGTAAGCTGCGCGGCGTAATTTCACAGGAGACGTGAAGTAGGTAACGTAACGTAAAGTAGTGTACAATGACGTTAGATAGACGTGGACATATAACTAACGTGTGAGCGACGCGATAGTAAGTTGCGCGGCGTAATTTCAGGAGACGTGAAGTAGGTAACGTGACTTAAAGTAGTGTGCGCGGCGTTAGTATAAGGTAACGTGACGTAAGATAGCGCTACAAATGACTTGGGGCTGCCGCCACCTTTAGTTACATTAACCCGACATAGGGTAAAGTAAGTTTGTATTAATTTGTCCCAAGGCAGCATTGTCTTCTTTCAGTGTACACCTTATTAACCTTGTTATATCATAATTACTGGTACTATCGATAGGAACGAACGAGACTTACGGCAGCATTGTCTTCTTTCAGTGTAAACCTTATTAACCTTGTTATATTGTAATTACTGGTACTATCGATAGGAACGAACGAGACTTACGGCAGAATTGGAGGAATTACGTCGACGATTACAAGACGCAGAGAATGGATGGATGGACAGCAAGGACGAATGTGTACAACTTACAGATAAACTGAATACCGCGGTTAGAGATGTAAGCTCATGAAAATTCCGACGTTTTAACCACTTTCTTGGTCATAATCTGAATCGATGTTTTTTATCAGGGTAAAATGGCTAACGCTGCTCGCGCACTTCTAGAAAAATCACGAGAAGACGAAATCATCGCATTCAAACAACAGCTTCACCAACGTGAAAACAATCTCRCAGCAGTCATGCAGGAATCACAGAGAAAATATTGTAAGTTTRTAAACGTTTTTCGTCATGAACTGGTACTATGATATACTTTTCGTTTTCAACTATATATAAGACAGGAAATGTTATACTTCCTGATACGCCCAATCATCACATTAGATTTTTGTAGGCAGTGTGCGCATTACCACACAGTGAGCTGATTTGATTGTATTTGATAGCACAAGCAAGAAGTGAACTAGAGCACATGCTAGAATCCCAGATCAAGATATCAGACGTTTTGAAAGATGAATGTAGAAARCTTTCACAGCAGTTGGAGAATACTTCTAAACGATCGAAGTATGAMCATCATATATTTTTCTGAGATTGCTTAGATAGTTGATGTGGTTTGATTTGATTGCAATTTCACTCAGCCATTCATTGATTTCAATTTCAATAATGAGAGATGTGATGCTAATATTGATACTAATTTATAATCAGGTTTTATTGATAACAAAAATAATGATTAATGGGAAACTGACGTATCAGTCATGATGATGCTGATGATGCTATGATGTCTCTTGTGACATTATGATGCTTGTAATGATAGCAATGTTGATGATTAATAATGATGATGATGATAATGATTATGATGATTATGATGATGATGATAATGATTATGATGATTATGATGATGATGATAATGATGATGATGATGATGATGATGATGATTATGATTATGATGATAATGATGATGATGATGATGATGATGATGATGATGATGATGATGATGATGATGATTACCGTCAATGTCTTTGTTTTTAATACTTCACTTCATCACACAAGAACGGCGGTCATAACACATACAAAAAAGATGACGCTGATATGATGTTCAATGTAGGGACAGCATGCAAGAAGCTGTACAAGAAATGGCAAAAACAAAGACTGAGCTGACTAATTTGTCGAGTAAATGCAAGACTTTAGAGAGCCAACTGAGACAAAAAGACAAAAACCTCAATAAAATGAACAAAAAAGTCAACATGTTGGAAAAGAATGTCCAGAAATACGTCCAGCAGGTATGGATTGAAACTATTGTTGAATGATTTCCATCATATTCAGTGTCACCAGAGCGGATTTCGTATGAGTGGGAAACGGACGGTACTGTACTGTAACCGTAATCGTACTGTAACCAAATTCTAGTGCCCCATTGGTTCACCAAAATTGTGCAGGCCAGGTGCGGTAACTGTGCGGTAACCGTGCTGTAACGGTGTCCCACTCATACGAAATACGCTCTAGTATCACTAAAAGTAAGGCCTGTGTGAAAGGGTGCGCGGAATAGTTATTAACAATTTCCATGTTAAACTTTTTTTTGTTAAAAACCTTTTTTTAGATTTACGATCTCCTACTCAAGCAGAATTCTCTAATGAAAGATCGACAGACGTTGAGTAAAGAACTTGAATACTGGAGACAGGAAACCCTGCAGTCACGTAAGCAAGATGTCGTGATGCGTGACAACGATATAGAAAGTAACGTAAGCAACGAAAATAATTCTCAGACATAGACCTTTTTAATTTTTACAATTTTATTATTTYTATGTAAATATTATTGTACATTTGTATAAAAAAAACTATTATTGAATACCATGCACTATATTGTAAAGTGATATTTTTATATAAACTCACATATAAGCTAAACTATATTAGTCACAATTTTTAAAATGTATATCATATAATGTTAAAATCGTGATAACTATTTCACCGAGAAGTAATCAAAACTAACAGATATTGTAATTATCAGTCTTTTGTCATGCTACAATGGAGTGAAGAAAACTTAAAAGAAACTGAAATTACGTGATTTGTTCATAGTTAGTCCAAGGTTACTATAGTTTGTTTTCACTAGCAATTTGCCATATTTGGAATTCAGTTGCCATATTAGGTGATATCAGTTAGTGGGTAGTAATAATGATACGGGTTTTGTGGGTTTATTCTGAATGACAGGGGTGGCTTATTCGAGTCCAACCAATGTATATGACGGATACCCTGGTCTTACCACCATACGTTACCTTGGTAACTATATGGTATATTTACAACACTCGTACACATATCTKACCATAGACCATGGTACGTCACTACGTCGCTCAAGAAGAAACGAATGAATAAACTCATTGGATCTACATGACAAATAGTGACGATCAAGGAACAAGATTTCACCATTAGCACGGTTATTCCAACCTGTCTTCACACGACGACATTTTGTGCTCAGATCATCGAATCGCTCTCGGACAACATCTACTTTCATCTCAATGTCACTGTAGTCTGACTGGGTTGTCTAGAAWTGCACAGATGGATTAGTGAAGATGAGATGGAAACTCATGCTTAGCAAGATGTGTCCGTTGCAACGTTATATTCAAGACATTATACGACTAACAACTCCAGCACTGTTAGGTTATAATTATCCACTACATTACAAGTCCCCTTTGAATCAACTTTATCTGGGGAATTAATACCAAGTCATTTCAGAACAATAACCTATGTTATCTTCTTTACACAATAACCTATGTTCTCGATGCTCACCGATATGATGTTTTCCAACTTGTTCATTTTGTTCCTATATTGTTCAATGCCTCGTTTTCTCATCTCCAAGTCTTGCCTTATGACGTCAAACTTGTTTCGCAGCTCTGACCTCACTTTATGAACTGAAAACTATCACCATAGTAACAGTTATGTCATTACTTAGCGTCATCAGCTTACGTAAAAGTTACAACTCRGGTGATTAGTCAAATCGTTTCATATTCATTATTTATACCTTGGTGGCTTTGTCATTGATGGATGCTTTTAGYTTTTCAAGTCGGTCATTTTGATTTTCAATTTTCTTGTTCTGTCTCTTCACTGTATCCTCAAGTGACTTGAGTTGTTGCGAGAATATCATGAGGGACGAAATGGCCGAGGCACCAAACGACTGGCTGGACTGTGATTGCTGAAAATGTTTAATAATCAAATAGTTGTGAATGTACCATCAAATGAATGATTAGCGATCATGGACGACTATTTCAACAGCTTAAAACGATGACACGATACCCAGTGATACCATCGATTGATTACCGACAAGTAAACCGACAGCTTACCGATGAATTACCGATTATCTACCGAAAGATTTATGACAGACTTGCTTTTCGCTAAAGCCGGCTGATAGGAATAAGCAATAACCGAACCGACCTGTTATCTGCTGATCTCAATAACGGTGACATCCAACTGATGTTCAAGATAGAAAAAATAAACATTTTTTGAATGAAGCATGACATGTAAACAGCTCAACATGCAGTGTTCGTGGTCTAATCATTTAAAGATTAAACGAGACATGTAAGTCTCCGAAATCTTACCTTTGATGTTGGTACAACATGACACATCGACTCATCCACAGCCAACGAAGTCAAGACGATCACCAATAACACCTTTAGACCCGCCATCTTGGTCTATATTAATAGTTCCTTGTTTCGTTCTGATGTAATTCTTGCCGACTTCTTTTTCTTAACAGTTGCGTGTTTACACAGCACTTAACTGGCAAAACAGAGCAATTCCTGCCTCAAGTTTTTTCTAATCCCAGTATAACGCACAAGAGTTTGCTGTGCTRCAATTCATATCGTGCTGTATAGTGTTTTAAAGGTCAGTCAGTGATGACGGATTTATGACGTCACTTACAGAAGGTATAAAGAAGCTTTGTATTATGAAAGCATCAGTCCAACATGGCGTCTTTTAGTACTGTTATGGTCTTAATGTTGTTTTGCTGTAGTAGTTTGCAGTATGTGTCAAGTAGAAGAACCAGAAACAAGGTCAGTAGCAGGATGCACTACTTATTCATTATTTCGTAGCTGGTGTAAGAACTCCGTTTAGTATCAATCGTAACGATTTAAAATGAACATGGCCAGTCCTGATCATAATTCAGTATCACCTCCATTTGCTTTCTCAATCATTACATTACAGTTATTCTTCTCGTTATTTCGTCTACATTGAGTATTCAAAACAGTGGTACAATTGTAATTGTTATTTGTTAGTCATTGTGTTATTTACACCCCCTCCCTACTGCGCTATATTTGACAAATGTCCCTACCCCTCCCCACTTGGTTGATTATTTTTTCAAGATTAATACTCTCTACTCCGTCTCTGTTTTCTTGCAGCGTAACGTTGATTCGTCGATTAACAGTGTGCTTCAGTCATTTTTGAGGAGAATCGATGAAATGAAAGCATTGGTTAGAAAACAGAACAATATGATTAACGAACAACAACGGACCATTAAAAGATTAGGATGGACTCTTAGAAGAAAGGTATGTAATACTCCGATTTCGAGTTCTGGTTTGCTCTGTGTTAGCCTCAAAACCAAGCAACATATTCTTTTGTTTCATTGATAGCCCGAGAAAACGCATGGAATTTGAAAAGAAAGACAGTGGAATTGATTTGAAATCTCACACTTTTATTCTCACAATTAGGAATGTTTTGCGCACAAATGAGGCTAACACAGAGCATTGGAGAATTCGAAACTGGATTATT